CCAACCCCAAGTTGATTTTATGCACCTCATCTAAAGTTGGCCTGTCTGATTTTTGGAAGCAAGTGACTACTTTACTTGCTACCCGACTGAGTGAAATTTGCTCATTTGGTTTATTTGACCCAGAACGCTGGCCATACTACATCAGAATATTCCTATGTGAAACACTGTTCATGACTAACAAGGCCATTACTATTAGTTAGATAAACCAAACTCCCCCTAGCCTAACCCAGTGAAAGATGTTAATAAATCAGATTATCCCTTATGAGAAGGTTATATCTTTTGAGATTTATGGTGTGAATCTAACTTACTTTGACTTTATGAGAAAACCACTCTGGCCCACCAAATGTAATCTTGGAAATTTATTGTAAGATGACTTTAAAGCAGTGGTTCTCTACCTGTCGCACTGCAATGGAATGCACAGCATTGCAGTACCACTCGTTCCGGTGCGGGCGATCGAACTGTGGGTGGGAGGTGCATTAGGGATGCCATTCAAAAGATCTACCCAGTCTCCACACCTTATGGATCCTCATCCTGGGGTCCAGTGTGGGCTGCTGTGCTGTGACGAAGCTACATCCATATGTGCAATGCTGGTACAGCTCCCTTGCATGCCCTGTAGAGGTGCTGGTAGCCAGAATGTGACATCACTCCAGTTCAGGCACACAAGGTAGTTGTATGTATGGATGGAGTTCCCTTGAGGCCATAGCCCCAGTCCATCTCACCGTAATCAGACACTCGGCGCATATTTTGAATGGCTGCTTGGAAGGCACACTGTGACCCACTGAAAATGGGGTCGCTACCCACTTTTGTGTCACGACTCACCAGTTGAGAACCAAGGCTTTAAAGGATGCATCTGGCCAATTATTGATTACATTAAAATGATTTACTCGAGAGTGTCAAAGTTTGTTCAATTGTTTTATTTTCTGCTATCTATTGTTACAATATTTGCCTTTTGTAAATATACATAATAGATATACAGGTGAAACTCGAAAAATTAGAATATCGTGCAAAAGTAATTGCAGTAAGTGCTGCAAAAGTGGCCCAAACCAAGTATTGAGTACGTATGCATGCTTGTACTTTTCAGAGGTCTGATATTGTTCTATGTACAATCCTTGTTTTATTGATTGCATGTAATAATCTACTTTTTTGAGGTTGTGGATTTGGGGTTCTTGGGGTTTTCATGAGCTGTAAGCCATAATCATCACAATTATGACAAATCACGGCTTGAATTATCTTGCTTTGCATGTAATGAGTCTATCTCATATATTAGTTTCACCTTTTAAGTTGCATTAGTGAAATAAATGAACTTTGCACGATATTCTAATTATTCGAGTTTCACCTGTATATATACATTTGTAAATTGTGTACAATTGATTTCAAAAGCAATAAAACAAAAGCCTTTTCCACGGAGCACCAATGCAAAATTAGTGTTAGTGTAAATGTTATTACGTTGAATTTATTATTTTAATTATCTACTATATATCTAACTAATCATGCTAATGTCCCATGAGCTGTAGAAAATTATTTCAGGGCTTGCCTGAAACTTTTTTTCAGGGGTCCCTAAATCATTCAAAGGTTCTAGAAAGGCTGTAATAAAACTTTACATGACTGCTCCTCTAAAGTACTGAGAAACAGAAGGAAAACACGGAATCTATTAGTGTTAGAATATAGAAGTTATTCTGAGACCTGGGAACCTGCCGGATATGACCTGGCAATGCTGAATTTTCAGTTAGTGTTGCTGGGTCATCACTGGCTCTGTCAAAATCCCCATCATCTCTATTCCCCATCAGGGAATAGACTCAGCTGCTCTAATTTCCGGCTCCGGCATTCAGCTGATAGTAGTGACAGCAGCATACACTCACTAAGAACAGTCAGCAGAACACAGAGCTCCTCCCCCAAAAGCCCTCTCATATCTCTCCTACCATTGTCTGCCTCCTTACTCCAGGGCAATCAATCAGAGCACATGCAGGCTGTGTTTTTTCACTGCCTTGTGCGACAGTCAAAGACCCAGCTTGTGCAGAAGCAGATTGCAGGTATTGTACGTAGAACCAGGGCCGGCCTTAGGCCTTTAGGCGCCCTGTGCGAGAAAGCTTTACAGCGCCCCTCAGTGACCACACCCCTCCGTGGCCACACCCCCAGTAACCACACCCATTTCCCCCAATATCCGCACCATTTAAAGACTCCCATTTTGTTAAGCCACAAACAAAAATATATTAAAAAGTATGATAAAAATAAAACTTTTATTCAAAGGTATTACATTTGTAGGCACAATATAAGTGCTGTCATGTCGGATGGCCAGCGATGAGGAGGAGAGAAGCCGCCCCGAGGACGAGCTGTGTCGGCCGCCTGGCGCCTTTGTTGCCATGGCGCCTTGTGCGACCGCACAGCTCTCACACCCCTAAGGCCGGCCCTGCATAGAACAATGATGTGGGGGGAACAGAGTGACATTATTCCCTGGCTGACTCATCCATGCTCTAACTAGCCATTCGCATCATATATTAGAAAAGCTGATTTATTGCTTTCTGTTATAAGGGAGTCAGAGCACGGAGCTCCCATCTGGGGTGTATTGGTAGTTATTGGATGGCAGGGAACAGTGCTCTAAACAGGGTGTCAGATACAGAGAGAACCTCTGAACCACTTGGAAGTGACAACTGTCATCAGGGTGGGAGAAGAATGTAAGCGGAGCCAAGCAAATCATTTTTATTGGGGGAAACACCCATGGCTATCCATTTATAATGCTTACTGCTACATAAGTCCTCCATTTTTAGTAGACAGTGAAGGGTTGGGAGGTTATGAGAGCTAGATTACCCATAGAAACCAATTGCCACATTTGACAGAATAGTGTCTGGGTTGCCTTGAAATTTGATATGTGAAGGGGTGCTCTTAATAAGAAGGGGGGGGGCTACTGATGTGGGGGTTCTGATAGGAAGGGGCTCCTAATGTGAATGAGGGACTCTGATGTAAAGGGGAGAACCCCACTTTTTGGGCTTTTCTGTGGGGTCCCCCTTAAAATCTATACCAGACCCGTCTCGGATATTGGTCTGGTTTGAATTTTGGAAGGCCTCACATAATTTTTTACAGTTACTTGTTTTGCATTTTAGTCTGGGGTGCCTCGAGATATTGCATACTTTTAAAGGGTGGAAAACTCCTACAGGAAATGCAGTCACTAATAATTACCATATCAGCCTAGGAAGGGGGAGGGGCATGAGTGTATTTCCTGTGTCCCTCTAAGCGCTGTTCAGTCTCTGAATGATTTTCTTGCTCTGGAATATTTTAAATGTAAAATAGTTTTTAACTCCATCTACCCCTTCTCCCCTTAGCTATTATTTTGTTGCTTGCTTTTTAATTTTTACCAATAATTTGTTTTTTCATTGTTTTCATTTATTTTGTTCCTAATATAAATTGCATAAAATTGAAAAACAAGCCTTTATTTCATTTGAAAAAAACTTTTGCCATGATCTGCGATAGAACTGTAATTGTAATGTCATTATCAAAAGCTCAAATTGTAGAATAAATTATGCACTATTTATCTACAGTAACCTTGGACGTTTTAAAACTAACATTGTCCAAACTAAAAAAATATGCATTTTTATTTTTTGACTATATATTGCATAAAAAATGAAATACTTTTGTAAGACAATATTGCCAAAAGAAATCCTTGTTTGCACAGAAGATTATTTTGAGTGGAGGACATATTTCATATATATGAAATTAGCATTATGTAAAGCTCAATAACATTAATAAAAATTGACTAGGTGGTTTTATGACAGTTTGTAAGACATAATAAGCAACAAGAGTAGGCTATAATGTATGTGTCTTTTGCCATATTGATCAGTTATTTTCAACTCTCTTTTCAGAAAACAACAGTTGCTATGGCAGTGACAATCATTATAGCTTATTGTATTGGCCTAATTTTAATAATCTCCAAATATTATTCCACATTTATTCACTAGCCATCAATAAAATGTCCTTAATAGCTTATATGTGAGATGTTAGAATAGAGCTTAAAGTCGTGCCAGGTCTTTTATTTTTGCGACTCTACTAAGGAAAGTTTCCTCACTTTTGGTCCTTGTGACACTAGGACAAGAAATGAGGAGGACAGTTGTCACTAGGACAGGAAGGTACAGATAGCATCCGTTGCAATGTAGCAATTAATGGATGGAGCAACTAGTACTGTATGCAGCTGACAACTCATGTCCAGTTGGCAATGAAAGAATACCATAATGACACAAATGATTGCACAATGGGAGTATATGTACCCAGTCATAATATAATCATTTCAAAAATGGTGGTTAAATATAATTTCTTAGAAGGTTGGAGTTGTATGGTGGTCTGGGAAAGGACCCATCTGAACAGATCCAACCCCCACAAGAAAAAGCCAAAAGTAAACTTATTAAATACACTCTCTCCTTCCATGAAAGTTCTTGGTTCCAGTGAATACTTTGAATGCTCTGGATAACATTTGTGTCTATTGCATAATTGTCAAACATTTATGCTTACATGTACAATATATTTACATATTTGTGAACACAAACTTGTAACGGTGGCTGTTGTACCAATTCCTGCCAGCACAAATCTCGCAAAATCTTTTTTTTTTTTTTATGTTACCGTGGGTCTTGGTAATATTAAAGCAGAACTCCAGAGAAAAAAGAATCTTAACCCTTGCACCCCCACACTGCAAGGGTAAAGTGCTCATTTTTGTCTATGTTTGTCTAGGTTCAAAAATAACTCACCCGATCCTCTGAGCCGACTTGCTCTGACCCCTCCACTGTAGCAAAAGAACGTCCCACAGGGTCCTGACGTCCTATACACTGTGTATAGAACGTGATGAGTTAAGGTACCTTAGACTGCTGCAGCAGAGGGGGAGTGAGTAATGTGTTGCTAGTGATATGTTCCTACCGGGGTCATTGTGCTAATTTTTTTACTTTCTTGGAAATGTATTTTTTTAGTGGAATATAATCAGTAATACAATCAATCTAATTCTCTCATCTATGTCAAAGCAGGTTTCAGAGCTGGCTTGCACCTCATCTAAGACTTCCTTCTGCTGATCTTCAGAGCTATGCTGGAAACCACAGTGATGATGGGGAAACCTGGAGACATGTTGAGATTTCCCGGTTATCTAGTAAAAGTCAACATGATCTGGCAGACAAAAGAATCTGCGGCACCTTCACTAAGAAGAAATTGTGCAGCATAGAGAGAATACTGAGGAAAACAGAGAGATTCCAAAAGTGGATGACAGCAAAACGCCTTACTCCAGACTTAGTGCAGGCAAGTGGGTATATGAAAACATTAAAGCTGAACTTTGGGCACAAACATTTTTCAAATATATTCCTTAATAGCCACAAAGGATATACATCCACTTTGTGTGCACCAAATGCCCATATTACCTTGTAATAGTAGCAGTGACATTGTCACTGTGCTACACATAGCCTGTGCAGAGAGCAGAGCTGTGGAAGCGGCCCAGCAAGCCCACCCAATACAGGCTGCCTGCAGAAAAATATAGAAGGGGCGGATACAAGACCAGACACCCTTCAGAAGGAGAGAGAACAGCAGTGACTGGTCTTTGTTACAGGTAGCTCCTGCAAAAAGAAAACATTTCATGCTGGATTACTGCACAGTTCTGGAGGAAATATGAAAAGCACAGCAAGATTCAAGTAAGAATACACATATTTGCCTATCCTAGAGTTCATCATCACAGAATAATTTTTGTTGTAGGTATCAACCAGATATTTTTTTTGGGGGGGGGGGGGGGGGGGAACTTTTTTT